TGAATGGGAAGAAATCCTCACTTAAACTCCAGATTAACCCCAGCCCTCTTTCCTAGGCAGTCAACTAAACTGGCAGGAACAGCATCTCGGGGTCCAGAGTCATGACAGCACTTAAAAGAGCAAAGGCTCTCCCATGAACTCAGCTAATTCCTGGCCTTGCTGAGCTAACAGCTGGGACCTGCTGGGGAGGAGCATAACAGGAATACTGTTAGATTATTATTTTTAAGGCTTTTCTTTCATTATCAAGCTTTTACTTTTAAGTCTTAGCGTCCCAGCACTGCCTCTTTTGTGTTACCCCCAGTACAGCCTGTCAGGAATAGAAGTGTTAAAACAGTTCACATAAAGGAACTTAAGGAAGCTGTGCCATAATTGTGTAGTATTCTCTCTCCCCTTTGTACTGCAATCATTTTACCCAAATATTTCAGTCATAATGTGCAATACAGTATTTTTATTTACCAAGTTGATGGAACTTGCACCACAATTCTCGATCCTTCCAAACTTATCTGGGGAGCATAGGCTTCTTTATTTTCAATCTGTGCTGTGTCCACAACCACCTAGCAAATAAAATGAAGATAAAAGGGAAATGATTTTAAGAATCAGTTCTAGTCATTTTATCACCCCTGTAGTTAAGCTGCAATAGTCTCATCTCTGAGCCGTGCTAAAGGTACAAAAAACAACCAAATAAAAACTAACCAACTCACAAAATCATTGTAAGTATATTTCTATTTCAGTGTATATGTTTAAAATAATATAAAATCATTGGGTTCAGTAACCTGTCTCTCAAGGACTTCATTCTTCTCAGTAGTTAAGCATCACTACACAGTTACCAGCTGCTTTACCTCACAGCTGGTGGTTCTCAATGGCTCCACACAACAGCCCTTACATTTGAGAGGTTTAACACAGTTACTACTTTAATAGCTCCCAAACACCTATTTAGCAAAATATTTTAAATAATTTAACTGCAGTGAATGGTGTAACATAGGCAAATTATATAATTTCCAAATAGAAAGAGAAATGACTGTTCAGTTTGTTGAATTCTGAGCCATACCATGAAGATATATGGAAGACAAAAGTCTTGAAAATCAACCCTCTGTCATGACCCTTTCTTTTTAGGGAATGGAGAAGGAATAGATTCACTTCAGCTTCATTTAACCTTTAATACCAGCGACACTAAGTTCCATATTTGGTTCATGCTTTCTGTTGTTGTCCAGTCTGTGTGGGTTGGCCTTTTTGATCATTTCCATAATTTCCTATTTTGGTCATGCTGAACCAGCAGCTTTTTGGCAGCAGTCAGCAGTTCTTGCTTCAGTGACTAGCAGATTAGCTGTACCATTTATCCTTGAAATGGCAAAAGTCCTCTGGGATAAATAAGCCTCAGGGATTATTACTGACTTTTTTGCCATCACCCAGCCTACACCAGTTCAGCTTCTAACAGGTTCTCTATTGCTGGGTATGAAAACATGTGAAATATGAATAATGCTGAGAGTTTCTCCTCTCTCATTTTAACAAAACCATCCAATGACACTTGAACATAATTATTTCCCACCTTTCAGGTATTTTTGCATAAAGCCTTTGTTTTCCTTCAGCTGACTCCAAGCCTTTGCCCAAGTTTATCCAATCCTGACAAACATGTCTAAGCATGATGCCAAAACACCACACTCATGAAAATACCTCTCATTTCCTAACAGGAAAACTCCACGACTTTTCCTTTTTAATTTTATGTAATTTCGTAATGTGCAATTCAGCTCTACTGCAATTATAGTTTTGATAAAGAGAGATGCAATTAGGAGTGATTGTTCTCAACTTCCAAGAAAAACAGAGTCTGCATCTCAGCCCTTAAGTCAGAGCTAAACCTCTGGTTTGTGTAGATCCGTGCCAGCTTCTGGCAGTGGTGAACAGCAGTGCCCATGGGCTGGGCTTTCTTGGGGTGTCCCTCCCCCTGGATGCACCTTCCTTTCTTCCTTTGGAAAAAAGCTTTACATGTCCTGGCATTTGTCAGAGTTGGGACATCTGGGATTTAAACATTACCAGGAGATTTAGGGCTCCTGCAATGGAAAGATCTACTAGCACAAGAAAAGAGAGGTTTAACTGTTGACGTCTTTGCATGAGGCCAATTCAAAGTTTCATTTCCACTTGTCCTCTGAATTCAACTATTTTAATACACATTATTTTTATTTGAACACGCAGATTTCTTCAGCTGACCCAAAGCTGAAAATACAATTCTTATTATATATATGCTTAGGTAAAAACTGAAAATCCACACTTCAAAATAGTTCTTGTGCTAAAAAACTACAGCCCAAAATAAACCAAGCAAACTAAGTGACATCTCATTGTGCCTTCCACGCTCAGTGAGTCTCTTCTGAAAAGGCACATGCAAGAAAGGCTAAAACCAGTGAGACTGCCAAGTAATGTTCTCTTTTGAATTGGGCATTTAAGTGACAGATTTACACCCAATTCTGAAGGAGTGCAGACAGCTCAGTGTCTAAAAGCAGTAAACCAAAGGCTACGTCACCTTGTGCCATGATTCAATGATTCATTTATCTGTTCGTCACAAAATAAACTGAAAATAAACACGTTCTCCCTCCCCGCCTGGTGGTGCTTAGAGAACAGCTTCCTGTACCTCAGCCAGCCATTGTTCTTGCTCTACAGGTGCTTCCTCTCTCATTTCCACCCAAAGAACGCTTTGCAGACATAAATTACAATTTCTTGTCACTGCACGAGGCTACACACAAGCACAGTTGTAAAAAATAAAGTAAAACATAGTGTAAAAAAATAATAAGTTGTAAAAAATTAGGGCACATAGTTTATAAAGAGAAACCTCAATCTTCATACCTCTCTATAAACTGTAAAGTATCAAAGTGAGAATGAAAGAGAGAGAGGGTTTGCAAGTCTTTGTGCACAGCTCATTTCTGCTTCTTTGAGAACCTGAGGGTCATGCACAAATCTTTGGAGACATTCAGGATCCAACACAAGTAAAACTCCAAGTATCAGCCGGGTCATCTGGGAGAACGTGTGAGTTTTATGCTGACACTCTCCAAATGTGATGACAAACCTGAAGAATGTCAGTGCTCCAATTACCAGCAGGTCTAACTGGTCACGTCTAGACTGGGGGACATCAGATTTCCTGAGTCCAAATGTGCCTCAGGCCTCTCCTCAAATCTCATGGGGGCAGAACTTGGGTGTGCACGACACTGAAACCCCCTGGAAAGGAAATGGTGGAAGGTGCAGCTCCTCCCAGACATTCCTCACCCAGACACCGGGGAGCCAGCTCTGCTCCAGACACTCCCACAGGGCTGCTGAGAAACACTGGCTTTCCTGGCCTCATTTCCTGTACCTTGGGCTGACTCCCAGCATCCTGCCATCAGCTATGGCAGCTGAAGCCACAATCCCACTTAGGCACATCCTTTTTTTCTCATTCTCCTTGTATTTATTAATATTTAATATGTTTTCCTTGAAAACACCTCAGTAGGAATTTGATCAATCCTACTATTCCACAGTTTCTTTCTGACCCTGAAAAGACACCCCCTTCTTATGCCTCTCTGTAAAACTTGCCTTAGACAAAGCACTGCCATCTCCTGTCCTTAAATCCCTGTATCTCAGTGAAGTAAGGACTGACAGCAGGTGCACTGCTGTTGAGATTGATGGTTTGCCCCTTTGATTTTAGGCTGCCTTTAAAAGTCAGTTGAATTCCAGTATAACTAGAACCTACTTCTCTAACAGGTATTTAATATTAAGGGAATAACTAAGATCTGGTATCTAGTATCAAAGGAATGCTGAAGTAGAAATATCTGACAAATTCGTCATTTACAATTTATTACAATTTATTCACCATTACTGGAGAACCTACTCACAGCACCAAAAGCACATGGTTTAACTAACTAGGATGGAAGGTCTAAGTCACTTCCTCAGCTGTGTGGTTCGTCTGAAAAACAAGATATTTACAAAGTGTGCAGCTGTATGTGCCCTTCAATCAGAAATTAGTGACAGTCCTGATGAGCTGCCACCACCCTGAACAAGGAATCAGCACATGAACCAACAGGAAACACTGATCTCACTGCAGGGCTAGAGACAACTCAAAGAACACCTGACAGAAACTATCACAGGCTACAGTGTACTTTTACCCTTGCATTTCCTTCCTGTCCCAGGGCAGTCTTGCCCCCTACTCACAGCAGTCCAAAAACCCCTGTGTGTCATGACTGAACTCTTCTCTAAGGGACAAGACTGCAATAATTAATTATGGGAGCACAAATGCATATTGTTATCAGAGTATTATCCAAGCATCTATTTTTACCAGCTGCTTAGACACTGTAAAATTCACTGAGCTTTTTCCCCCTCAAGAACACATGTCTACAGCCAGGCACTGAAAGGCTCTGTCCTCAGCAGGAGATGTCAGGTACCATTACCTGGTGCAGAGGACTGCCTGGTTTATGCTGGGCTGGAAACCCATTCAAAGCAGAGAACAAATGAAAAAATGGCAGGTTTTGAAGCTAATTTGAGAGGGGGGTGTGTTTGGGTTTTTGGTGGTTTTTTGGCTTTTTTAACATGGTCATCTATAGATTTGAAAATATTTCTATTTCTCTGTGAATTGGAAGCTTCATTTCTTGTGTTCTCTCTACTAATGGAGACTATGAAGCACCCAGTGCATTCTTCTGTTCCTGCCAACTACAGACACCACCTATGCACTTGCACTCCCCAAGGATACATTTTGCTCAGAGATCAAGTGAACTGCAGGGCTAAAAATGGAGAAACCCAAAGGAAGACACCGCAAATTCATTTCCAAACTCCAAAACGTCCAGTTTCTCCTCAGGATGTTTAAGTAACCTTTTGTTTTGCTCACTCACCAGCCCAGCCTGGCCAAACAAGAGCTGCACAGCAGTTTTGCAGGCTCCTCTCCAGGTGGAAGGGCACACCTGGTTCAGCACCTCGGTGACGGGGGAGTCGTCGCGGGGGGTCAGCCCGTTGTGGCACCCGGCCTCCTTGATCAGCTGCAGCATCGTGTGCTGCAAAAAACAGGCATCCACAAGTGTTAACACCCATCTTCCACCTCTGTTGGTCATTGTTCTGCACCTTCTCAAACAACTGTAGTGTCTGCAACCTGGGAACAGTCTGGTACAACTCGAGGAGTTCGACTGCAGAACAGAAATATGGAAGATGCTGTTTGGAACACAGTGCTCCTCCAAAATCATATGCAGTACCTTTGCTTATATTCTTGCAAACCAATTCACACAAAACTACAAAAAGGATTGCAAAACCAACAAAAAAGCAGCATTTTGAGCCATCACTTGTTTCCACTCCTTCGGGAGAAAGGACCTGGGCTTACCTACAAAAAAAAAGTGGAAGTGCTGATTAAAATTGCCCAAATGACTTGTGAATGGATGTATTTTCCATTTGTTTATACTGAAATACAACTAACTGTCCACAATTTTCAATTACTTTTAAAACAGGGATCCAAGTTTGTACAAAGACATCAAAAGGTGTTCTGTTACAAAGTATTTTTTTCAAGTACCTCCCTTAGCACCAGGCTGGCTCAGACTTATTTTGGCACCTAAGAAGACGAAGGCTCTGAAGTGCATCACCTGGCTGGGGGATCTGTAAGGGCTCACTGTCCTCTGCACTTCTTGATACTGAACCCATCTATTCTCAAAAAGTTCCCAGCAGCTTCATTGCCTCCTGGATTTCTTTGTCTGTGCTGCCCTTGGATTGGACTGGGACTGCCCAGGTGGTTAAAACATTATCAGGAACAGGCACGGACCAACAATGTTATCAACAGCATGTTTCCACAGAATTCAGGCAGAAAAAAAGCACTTTTAAACACAAATTTGGCACTGAACTGCTATTACTATTCTACTACATTTTGAGGAGTTCTCCCAGCTTTACTCCTGTGGTTATTTGGGATTATTACCGTTTTCAGCTTCAGGTTTTCTGCTGCAGACTCATTAAAGGAGATTCCTTTCAGGAAATGGGATCCAATCTGCACAGGGACAGTGGGCAGCTCACACTGAATGGGCTGAGGTGGAGTCTGTCTCCTTCCTGTTTGCTGGGCTTCAGCTTCACTGCAACAGCCCTGAAGCACAGAAGAACAGTTCAAACAGACATCAGAAAATCATAATATTATTCCAACCTCTTCATTTTAAATAGCTCTTTCCAAGGTGAGGAGGGATGAAAGAGAGCAGGTTTAGCAGATCCTACCTGAAGACTTGCTTCAATAGCTTTTGGGTTCAAGTGGAAGCCAGCCTTCATTGCATATTCACAATGGCCCAAACTCTCCAGAGCCACTTTGTAAGCCTGACATCAAACAAAAAGTTGAGATAGCACAGGCACATCAGCAAGTCAGCAAGCATGCAGTGACTGTCTGGGCACAGACATGGTACATGGATTTACCCTGCTCAGGTCTATGGCATACACACATTTATCATGAAAGATGCCAAAGCTGCAATTCTCAGGCACCTGGGAGCTGTCTGTGACTCAGCTCTGCAGTAACACACCTTCCCTATCCACTCCTTGGCCCACTGACTGAACTACATGCACATGAAAGCAGCAGACTTGAAAAACCACCTGCAAAGCACTGTCAATTTTCATGTTTAGCTCTTTGAGCTGATGTTCAGGGATTGCCACACTCTGTGAGCAGAAAAGTTGCTGAACTTCAATTCCTGCCAAACATCCATCACAGCCTCTTTCTCGCAGTCGAGACGTGGCCTGTAATGTAAAATAAAAATCTGCTGTAAGGAGGGTCAACATTAAACCAGGTCAAGTTTAATTCAATTTCAAAAAAAGAGAAAAAGCCCATAGAGTTTAAAACCTTCTACAGGAGATGAGAAGCAGCACCTGGGGGGAAGGACCTGGACGAGACAGTTTATTATAACTTATTAAACTTCATAGTCACTTTGAAAGTCCAGCTCTCCTGAAACTTGTACAGCACAGGGGTGTGGATTCAACATTGTTTGCTGTTCCTATTCCTGCTCCCTCTCAGCACTACAGATCCTGTTACACAGACCACACCAGGACTGTGCTTCCCAGAGAGAGGACTCACAACTTCAACACAAACTCGCCACAGAAACAGAAGAGATGTTAAATCACGTGTACAAACACTCCTGCCTGCACAGGATGACACATCTGACAAAACTATGGGTCATTACTGTGGTGCCATTTGAGAAGGGCCACACATCACTAGGATCAACTCAGTACAGCAAGAAAATGGCTTAGTAATATGATTTTGAATATTTATAGTAATAGGAATAGCACAGTAATATGATTTTGAAAGATAAGGAATATAAAAAGCCAAATATCTCGTTTGAACTGTAAAATCCTACACCACTGAGCAGGGTAAAGCAAATAGGTGCTGCTTGTTTTCCAGTCTAGGAAAGAGTCTTCCTCTGAAGCAGGATGTCCAGACTGGGGAGTTCTGGTACTACACATTGCTCACAGCACAGAATTCCTGCAATTCCCAAAGTACATCTCCAGGAGGAAAAACAGTTCTGAGCTATTGAAAAAGTATCATCTTAAACTTCATTCTGAACCAGCACTGTGCTCTCCTGCCAAAGGGGCTGATTTTATAGGGAAACAACGGACTGCCTTCCACTCCAAAAATAAAAATTGGGAAAGATTTTGGTATTTCAAATCCCCCTTCTATCAAAATGACTTGTATATTAGTCTACCTACAACTGTAAGAGAGAGATTTTATATGTTTATAAATGTTATATATTTACAGACCACATATTTTTCTTATCCTATCTTAATACCTCACACAAATACTCCAAAACAGTTATTTTAGTTAATCATAAAACCCAAGAAGTTTCTTCTGCTGTTATTCTGGAACTAGAGACAATTTGTATTTTTTCCTTTCTCCTCTCCTTGCATGTTTAATACAGGATTTGACTGGTATAACACTTGTACTGTGTAACTCTTTTGAAAACCAGGTTTTACTGACAGAAATACCTGAAGTGGGTTGTTAAGAAGCTAAAAAAGAAAGTTAAGGCCCAAGATTCTGCAAATCAAATTTTAATTTTAATCATATTCAAAACAAATTTGATAGCAATTACAGGACATTTCTAGAAATTGTAATAATTTTAAAGAACTAAATATATTACATGTAAAATTAACCATTTTTATATGCCAAAGGAGTACAGCTATTCCAGGATTAGACCTGTTAGGATTATCTGTAATACACCTAAAGCACTCCCAAATCCCTAGCTTATCCAGTGAAATAAATTTATGCTGCAGTAAAAATTACAAATAATTCCTCTGCATTCAGAGTTCTAAAGGAAACTCGTTTGCTTTCCTGTACCTTGAGATGTTGGAGGCAAATGGAGACCTGGGCAAGGATTCCAGTCACTGTGACTAACAAGCCAAATGAGGCTGCACCAGCACATGCTCCAAGTGCCCTGAATTTAAGGAAACCACACACTCTGTGTCTGAATCCACCCTGATCTATCACTCTGCAGACTGCAGCAGTGCCAGGGAAAGCAGAAAACCTTGTAAAACTCCTTGTAAAGTACTTTTTTTGACTGGCAAAGTAAGGATTCCACAGATGGTACGTGTTTGTAAAAGTACAAGTCCAGAGAGGGGTATATTTAAGTGATATGGGTCACATTTCAGCAATGGATGGATCAAGCAACATCCATCTCAACAGCAGAAAGACAAGAGTTAAAAGTTAACACAAAGATTTTGAAGTACAAAATAGAATTCGTGCTCAAAATTTGAAATAGACATTATCTAAATAATAATAATAATAATAATAATAATAATCAAGATTTTGCTCTGTTTTCACACTAAATTGTTGTATTTTTTACTTTTTAGTTCCCCCATCTGCCAGATCCAACTTGAACATCATTAATTCATTACTAACAACAAAAATCTGTTGGCACTGTTTGTGCACTCCTTATGTACAAACCTGTCACAAAGAAAACTTCACCCAGGGCAAAGAGAGTGCCATCACCACATAAGTAAAACTGAGTTTTAGTGTCTGAAACAATCTGCACCAGGTTCCCCCCCTTCAGATCCAGCATGTCTTTAAAACCAGGTATTCTCTTTGCTCTGTCAGGGCTGAATTTAGGTTTCCCTAAATGTAACAGCCATTCCACCAAATCTCCTGTCACCACAGCAAGGCCTCCATACCTCTGCTGCTCCTCTCCAGGATCTTATTGCATCTTCCAGCTCATTTGTGGGGCTTATATTTGAGGCTCCAGTCCCACTGACGTTCTTCCTCTCCTGAGCTACGGCTTCAGCAAAGCAGGAATGTGCCACTGGCTGGACCTTCTGCAAAGCTTGGGACAGGAACTGGAAGTGGACCTGCATCACCGTCAGGAAACATCTCCCAAGGACCTGCAGGAGAGGAAACAAACCTCTTTCAAGCACATAGAAGATTTCATGGAAGTTTACCTTTTTCTTTTTTGTTTCGTGTTTGGGGTAAGGAACTAGACTCTGATTTTTTTTAATTAAAATAATGCTTCAGGTCATAAGTAACATGGGATATGTAACCATTTACTTAAGGTAAAGAGTTGAGTGGGCATTGGTTTCTATGAATGAAGGGGACACCACACCAACCCTGAGTCATTTTTACTTCTGCACTCAGGTTGTGCCCACTTGAGGAATGAAAAGCTTGCTGGGTTACTCAGCAATATTGAACACATGACACAACACAAAAATGGGAGCAGCATATTATCCCAAGGGCAAAGTCAACAGCAAAACCCACCTGCACATAGACCTGGCTGAATTTATGACAAAACCCCAAAACAGCAACAACGAAGTGTGAATCATTTAAAAACATCATCATAAAATCCAAGGAGTTTATCCTCCCAGGGCAGCAGTAACAGGCAGGACATGGGCAGGAAAAGGCCCCAAAATTGTGCACAGTGCCCAGAGCTGCAGCCCTGGCACTGCAGTGTCTGACAGGAACTGCTAACACTGGCACAAACCTGCTCTTCAGAATATTTCACTGGAATGGGAAAGGCCAAGGAAGGCCAGGGAAGCCAAGGGCTGACAGCCACTCCCTGAGCTCACTGGGCTGAGAGGCAGCACCAGGGAAGGGGGTCCCAGCTCTGCACCCTGGACCCCTGTCCCTGGCCAGGGAAGGAGGTTCCAGCTCTGCAGCCTGGACCCCTGTCCCTGCACAGTTCCATCCCCCTCTCTCCTCCCAGGGCCCACGAGAACTGTGTCCAAAGACACAGAGACACCTCAGTTACTACAAGCAGAACAACACAGGTGTGTTGGAGGATTTTGGAAGGACAGGAAGGAGTGAAACCATCAGCAGGACATCCTGGAGAGCCACCAGCACCAAGTGGACACTCCCTCTGCCTCCAGGGCCACTCTCCTGACAAAACCTTACACAGAGTAACTGGAGAGCACCAGAAGTGTTTCCAAACCACTGTAGAAAGTATTCAAAAGCTATTCACAGTGTTTCTTTTATGGAGTTTATCACACAAAGTGTTTTAAAATGTATATTTGACTTTGATTTATTAAAAAAGATTCAGCTTGAATTCCATTTTAGGAATAATTCATAAAATGCACAGATAACATACAAAGCCATCATGCCTTGGAGACAATAAATCATCTGGCTTATTTTCAGCTACATTCTTCTGGAATAAAAAAATTGAGACACCACGATCTTCCTGGCAAGACTCTGAAGTCACACGAACAGTTATATGCATTTACTATCTACTTCAGAAAACCAGTGGTGGCAATGCTTTTTTCCACTGCATCCAGACTCCTTTTGACATTCCATTCTGGTTCAATCACTTCCCTTCTTTGTACAAGGCATAAAATTAAACATTTTTGGTACTTTGACTGACCTCTGAAAGCAGAGTTTGCTTTATTAAAAAAAGCAGTCGGCAAATGATAAAATAAAGAAAAATCCAACTTTCCTGGCTACAAGATTAGAAAGATTTATAGGAAAACTACAGGAAAAGGCAACTGGTGATTCGAATATTTCTGTGTAGGAAGAATGCAGCTCTCAGGGGAAGAAGAAACTCGTACTCATTAGGATTTTCAAGCCGATTAAATTTCAAAGAATATTTAAGGTACAGAGGTTGAAGTTTCCCCAGCCTGGGAATAATGCTCAAAATAAACACATGAATTAGGTTTTAAGTGGCAGCACACAACATTCCTACTATAATTTACAGTATTAAACAGTGGAGATAAATAGTAACATCTGCTTTACTGAACTTCTGTTTGAAAAACAATCCACTTCAGCCTTCCTGTGAAAGGGGTGAGGATGGTTCTAACTGCTCCAGGATAATCAAAGTGGTGGAGGGTTTCTGCACTGTTAAACAACCCTTTGGATTGATGGCAGATGCCCAACTCACTCTGCTTTAAAGCTCACTTTGTGGGATTTTCTTCCCAAGAGCACAAACTCTGTCTTGGCTGTGGGGTGAACTCCACAGCCAGGGCCCCCAGAGTGCAGAGACACCAGAAAGCTCTGCTGCACAATCCAGGGAACAGTTCTGGCACATGGATGCTTTTTTTCCAGTTAGAGACACCACCACCTCTTTCTCAAGTTTATTTGCCTACTTTCCCATGCAGAAGTGTTTGACTCTCCTGCTTTAGACCAGAATAAGCACAAACTAAACCTTACAGACTATGCAGGAATCAAAGCTGAACTGGAATCATCACAGGTGTCAACTACTGAGATTTTCTTGGTAGTGATGGTGTTTTCTTAAATCATTTCTTGGAATCATTGAGCTCTTCAGCCTGCAAACTTTGTGTCCCACAAAATGCAGCTCCAGCACCCTGAGTCCCTGACCCCTTACCAGGCAGGACAGGTATCCACCTCAGCAGCTGAACAGATGGACCCAAAGGAATTTCCTATTCAGGCAGTGGGAAGCAATGGGACTTTTGGGGAAGTCTCACTTCAGACTTCCTTGTCTCTGAAACAGGTGATGAGTTTAATCACAGTGGTTACCTCCCAAGAGGAGCACCAGGTGGAGATGCAGTGTTAGGTCACTCTGTCTCACATTATCCTCCTAATGGGAGCACACAACCAACTCAGGGATATTTCACTGGGCAAAGTGTACACACACTTGCCAGATTTCACTGCTGAACACTGATGCCATGCAGATTCCCTGGCAAGCAAATGTTGTACAACAGATTCTTTAAAACAGACTGGTACCAGTAATGAAGTCAGCAAATAACCACTGTCATCATCCAAAACTGACACAAACAGACTTGCAGTTCCAACTATTGTTTTATGCAGAAGAACAACTTTACCTTTTCTGGGTTTTTTGTTTGTTTTTGGCTATTTCCCTAAACAAATCAAGCACTGAAAAGCCCAAACTCCACAACAGAGTTATTCCTACCTATTTCCACCCACCCCCCTTTCCCTCATCAGAGTCCTCAGTGGCCCTGGTAAGGATAAGCCCCAGCACAACCTGGCTGCCACTGGAGCCCAAATAAAACAGCCACAGAATGAACAGAGAGGTGTGACAGATAACACCCTTTCCCATATATTACTAGGAGTGGGCAGAACATGATTCATTTTTACTCCACAGCAATGCCCTGCAGACCCAGAGTGATCCCATGAACAGAACAGCTCCAAGGGAAGATACAATCCTGCCCTCTGGAAGGAGGTACCTGCAGGCTAAGCCAGGTTCCAGCAGAAGCTGCACCTTTATGGTATTAGGAGACACAGGCAACCCAACAGACTCACTTCTTCTAACAGTCAACCTAAAAGCCAGTAGTGACAGCTACACTAAAATGCTAACTATGATTTAGGAAAAAGGCACTGAAGTGTGAAGAGTTTTAAAAATATAAAGCAGCAATTTCAATGTAGGAAAAAATATTGTTTTGCTACTAACAGTTTCTCAACTCAGAGAAGTCTGAAGCCAATCCCTGCAAACCCCAGGAAAGAATAATTTGAAAAATAGTTCAACTGGGCTTTACAGAGTTTGCTAAGGAGAGTTTGCCTACATTTAATATTTACTCAGACATTTTTGTCTCACAAGCTTCTCATTCAAAAATCTTGGGCTATTTTATATACATAAAAGCCAAAAATTAACTCCATTTAATACAAAACAGAGCATCCAAGAATATATCTGGTGCCCATTCGTGTTTCCCTTCTGTTCAGGAAGGCAACATGGACATCCCTCTCATTACTACCACTTTTTAAGACAGTGCACAAGTTCCATTTTGCAGTACTGAGACTTCTGCAGAGCTTCACAAGAGATGAGGGAATATACCATCTTTTTTCCAGTTCTACTCCTCCCCTTGGATTTCCTTTAATGCTTTTATTAACAGAAATACAATGTTCCTGCATTCCCCAGCTTACAAACAGATACAGAAAACAACATGAAACACATTCTCCTTCCCCCTGATTTCCAAGCTGCTCCTCACCCATACAGGCACAAAGCACCCGAGAAATCAAAGGTTCTTGAAAGGGGAAAAGGAAAAGAAGAAAATAAAAATCAGCATTTGCATTTCTGAAATTAAGAAACCTTGGGAAACATCTGTCACCAACACTTTGATCAAGAGAAGTCACCTTCTTACCCAGCCTGGCAGATAGCTCTGAACTAGCAAGCTTTGTTCTGTTAAGTAACAATAAATAAATTAAAACTCTCACCCCCAGTGCTACACTCCAGTCTGCACTTTTTTTAGTCCAAATCCAAGACAGGTTATGCTCATCAAAACTTGAGTTTCCTTGACATTGCCTTCCCTGGGGACTAGAGCCCACTACACTAGAAAAAAAATGTGTGGCACCTCACAAAAGCCACAGCTCTGCTTGTTTTTTACAGTCAAACCTGCTCTGCTTCCACAGAGAGAGTCCCATTCTCATTAATTCGGGGTTCTGAATTACAACTCACCTCCCAGTGCTTCCACACCCCCAGACTCCATCCCTCAACCAGGAGACTCTGCAGTGCCATTCTCAGTGCCCTGCTGAGCTGCCACTCACACATTGCACCATCTCCCGGCTCTTTCTCAGACAGAGCTGGAAGTTCTTTCACTCACCTACTAAAAAGGCTGCAAAAGCAACTCCAGATACACCTGTATTCCCCTCCTTGTGTTTTCCAAGGAAACAACTACACTGGCTCTCACACTCTTCCCCCTGTCACCTCCCTTTCAGTACACTCAGATGAAGTCAGAAAAGCCCTTTATACCTTTCTGCTCCCATTGTGTGTTTTTTAATCCTGCTGGCAGTTTTATGAAATGTTAACTTCTCTATACACCAGGGAAAAAACAAACAAACAAACAAACTACACTTTTTAAATTAAAATTTCAGCATCAACAGCTCAGTCTTCCAAGCCCAGAAAGGCAGAATGGGAGAGGCTCTCAGCAGGTCATCCCACTGGCCCAAGCAAGGAGCAGTTTCACCCGGGTCAGTTTGGGAGCTGCAGGTTTAACCTGCTCTGTAGGTTCTGCTCCCTACCCTTTGTAGAATCCACATCAGTGCTCCACTAACACTACAAAGGATTTCCACAGTGTCTAATGGGAATCTTTCCTCGTGAAACTTAAGTTCACTGCTCCTTGCTCCACCTCACATGGACATGAGGAAGAGGACACTGGGACGTGTTCTGGCAGCTTCTCACATACCTGAGCAATTCTGAGTTTCCTTCTTACTCTCCTCTTCTGTAGAGTCCCTCTCTGAAGTCCTATTTCCTGGATGCCTGATTACTCCTGCTCCTCTCCTCCGGTGTCTCTCCACTGGCTCCCTATTTCTCTAAGTTGTGTTTAAGGCCATGACAACCAGTGAGCGAGTTCAGTGCTTAGTTCATGGCTCTTGTAGGTGTCAAATACACAGGAATTGCCTCTTTGCACAGCAGCAACAGCATTAGTTCATTATTTGCAACTGCACAGCACTGACTCCTACCCCACACCCACCTTCCACAGGCCCCAGGACTGCTCTCCAGAAGTGCTGCCCAGGGGGCTCCACTCCTGGTGCTGAGAATTTAAATATTGCAACATTCAGCTTTCCCCTCTGATTTCAACCCAAACTGAAAGCTCATTTGCTCAGGATTATTTTTAAGTCAAGTAGGTCTTCCAGCATCACTTACATCCTGTACTTTCAAGTCACCTACAAACTTAAATCTCTTCCTATACTGACCTCTCAACAGGTCCATCTTGACAGTGAGCAGCTGCTAAAGCTTCCTGGGCACAACCAACAACCCCTTTGCCCCTACACAGTATTCAGATAGTTGCCAACACTTGGAAAGACAGAGTTTCAAAGCCCACAAAAACCCCTAGAAGACAGGTAGTGCTTCAGATGTTTTTGCTTTTTTAATTCAAACAAATATGTTTGAGTATTCAAACAATACTTGTACTCTCAGCACAAGCATTACCAAGATTAATTTCATAAACTCACATATTTTTATATATATACTGCTATAGCTTTAGCTAAACAGTGATGTTATTTGATTGTTTTTAAAAATGCAAGTCTACAGAAGACATTTATAACAAATATATAGCCCATCTTCATTCTATATTAAGTATACAACACTGAAAACTGTAGTATGTAATTGCAGGGAGAAATAAGACTGACAAACAGTATTCTCCTGAACCACTCCACCTGTGAGTGATGCAGTGAGGGAAAGCAGGTAATAGCTGACAGCACATAATATTCATCCTTACAAAGTTACCTGAAATCTAAATCAAACCCAAGAGAATTCAAAAATAAGTTTTCCACTCAGGATGGAGTTCTGAAGGAATAACTTTGCAAAGTAAAGAAATATGTCAAAACACGAGGAACCACCTAAAACTCCATGGATTTGTATGTGACTGTCACTTAGCACTGCCTGTTACACCACACAGACAGGTACCCAGCCCCAGCCAGCCAGGTGTGATGGGAGCTGGGGATCCTCTCACCTCCCCAGCCTCTGAATCCTCACTGTTGGCACTTGCTGTCATGCATGAAAACTACAGCAAAGTCAGGACAAATTTCTACAGCACAGATCTCTCACACTAGTGTGGTATTTTCCTTTTATGCTCAACAGCTCAAAAGACAAAAATGTTTTAAAGAGTGATAAAATATTATTAGACCATTAATAGGTGGTTTTAGTCAAACACTGATGACAATATGCTACTCCCATGTGTTCAGGTTTCCCCTCAGGATGGAAAACACCAAGGAAAGTGTAGGTTCATTTAGAATACAATGCCTAAACATCAGCTAACATAAAACAGAAAATTGTTTAAGACTTTTGTCTAGCTGGTTCTTCCACAGAAATACCACTAAATACCTATTGAACACAGCTGGAGGCCAGGCATTGCTAATGAGTTAGTGCTTTCTTAGTACACAAGAAACGAAGAGTTTCTTTTTTTCACCAGCCTTACCCACGAACCTGTAGCAAGGCGCAGAAAACTTCTGCCCTCGAAGGGATTTTGACCAGGAAATCAAGTCCAGTTAAGAAGGAATGACACAAATTCACATCCCAACAGTCCCCCGAGGCAACTCACCTCGATGTCTTGCAGGCTGAACTCCTTCTGATCTTTGAAGTTGGCGGCTCCCGCGCTGAGCTCCATGAGCATTTTTGCGATCTCTGGTTTTATTGCTGCGGTGAGGCGGCTGGCGGCTTCCATGACATGTTCCTGCACGTCTTTCAGCTGCAGAGCCGCCTTGGAGTAGTGCGAGTTCCGGAACACGCCGCTGAAGAGGTCGGTGAGGAAGGTGCTCGTCCTGCAGAAGACGTTGAGCGCGTCCAGGTACTTGGAGATGCCCTGCTGGATGTCGGCGATGGGGGTGGCGTGGGGCGGCGGCGGGGGCAGCAGGGCGGGCGCGGGGGCGGCGGGGCCAGCGGGGCGCTCAGGGCCCGGCCCAGCTCGGGCAGCTGGTACTGCTGGTGTTGCTGCACCTTCTGCTTGGACCCGCCAAGCAAAAAGCGCCGCTTATAGTCCATTTTGCTTTCTTGTGCACTGCAGCAATACATAAGGGAGTGCTTGTCCAGAGGGCTCTCGGAGGAACAATCACTTGTCAGATTCCTTCCGCCGTGTCTATGTACAGTAACGGTGCGGGGCTGTGTACATAGGGCTCACAAAAGGCATTTCAGAAAGGCAAGCTCTGTATAATCTGGATCAGCAGTGGGAAAGGCAGCAGATTTGCTGACTCCGTGGTTTCAGTGTTCGGTGCAGCCCCGCTGCAGTCAGAAACTGAACTCAAAAAGCAAGCCCAAGTGTCTCAGTAATGCTCTGTCTCTTGTTGGGGATCCCACTCCGCACACAGAAGCAGAGAAGTCGCCTACGAGTTCTTCATGAGCATAATATTGTCACTTGCTGTGAAGTCTACAGAAGTTATTTTTGTCACTGCAAATAATAGTTTTAGAAGCAATACCTTAATGCAATTTCCCCATTAGTAGCATCAGGAAAAGTGGAGCAAACCACCGATCAACAGCGATTGTAGAAGCAGTGCAGAGGCTCTTTCCTTGAAAAAGCAAATCCTTGTGTCAGCAGATCAAATTTCTTCAAATGTCTTGACAGATCCAGTCTGCCAAATTAGTTTACTTGTAGTGTCTCTTCTTAGTACTGGAGGGGGGGAAAAAAAAATCTGTTTACAGAAGACTTTGCAAGTATAAGCTATTAAAAATTAGAGTGTTTATTATTGCAAGTCTTCCTCCCCTTTCCCTGTTTGTTGAGGTAGTTGTTTCCGTTGTAACATTAAGAAGTGGTGCTTCCAGGCTGCATTTGCCCTCAGTTGTAGACTCAGAACAAAAATGCACAAATGTATTTGTAAGGCCTCTAGGTCATTTCCTGTGAAGGGGAAAAAAAAAAAAGTTTAAAATGTTACAGAACAATGAGAAGGTTTAAAAATTTAACTCCCGCAGTGTCCGGGTGCACTGCTCTGGGTACACACTGCCAACAACACAAAGATCCAAAGGCAGGGAGAGCTGCACTGGCAGGTTAAAAGGTACAGGTTGGTGTCATCCTGTTACTAAACTCAACACTGTGGAATATTTCCTTGTCAATTCTTCCATTCTACACTGTCCAACTTCAGACTCAAGTTAATCCCCAGTGCAAGTCTTGCACTGTTAAGAACAGTGAAAGGCTATTACTGCAGAGCTCAAGGGGAGTTAATCACATTTCCTAACCTCATCCTTTTAAAATAATTAAAGAATGAAGTCAATTAAACCCTTTTTCATGCACAGTAATTTCTTGCAGAACTCCCCGGTTCATTTTAATAATTTACCAAGTCAACAGATACAGGTCCTCAATTTTTTTTAGTACAATGACAGACCAATCAGCCTATATCCTACCTGAGATTAGCTGAGAGATACAACATACACATCCCATTTCAGTGTGATGAACAGCATCTATCATACACAAAGTATTACATGAGGCAGAACTGCCCAAGAGATGCTCCAGTCACACCTCAGGCCACTCTCTCCCTCTCCTATACACACACAGACACCATTTATTCTATAAAATAAGGACATTCTTCTCCTCACTGCAGCAACTGCAATGTACAAGGATAATATCAAACAGTAATCAGGGTTTCTTCCCTGAGCACTTAAAAGAATAATCCAGAAATAACATGAGGGAGCCCTTTCATTCCACAACAAAATGTTGCTTTAGATATCATACTTGAGAAATGAAAACTGTTATTAATATTGTCAAAATGGTTGGGGAATAAAGATTTCCTCTTCAGCTAAAATTTCTTATTTCCACCTGTCTGAACACACACAATATCACTTCATTCCCATGATATGTTTTGACACATATGTAGGATACAAGAATCCCACAGATACAGAAGCAGGCAAGACAAAGCAGGACAAACACCTAGAGGTGGACAGTCTCACTCCCACTAAAATAAGAGGGCACAAGTTTCTCAGGAAGTTGTTGCTGCAGATGGTTCTGCTTCAAGGACACAGAGCAAATATTCTCTTGTATTCCCACTTTTTAGAAACCTGATAAACAGATGAAACACAGCAGAAATTCCCATATGCATTTCAGCATCCCTTAAAGTGCTCTAAGCCGATTACTTACCTCCCCAACTACTTTATACTTCTCTCAATATTCACACTGAACGTGTCAAAACGCAATAAACTCATTAAAACTGGAATTTTCTAGGAAGTCTTGATATGATATACACAGCTGAAAGCATTCTTCTCCTTGCTTTACAAGCTATGGTGCCTTACAGTGGGAAGCATGATTGAACTGGTTCCCTTGATTGCATATAAATGCAGATGGAACAAAAGAGTTGGTTAATTTAAATGCAATGTATAAGGAAATCAGTGATTGTTTTCCCTAAGTAGACATGAATTTCACACTGCAGAGGAACTTAAGAAATGATCAGGAAGTATCTAATGTTAACTAGGGCCAAAAGGAGAAAAAGCTCAAAGGGGTTTTCAAGCTCCAGGGCCCTGACTCAGACGAGCACATCTCAGTGAGGTGGTTGTGGTTACACACAGAGCCTGCCAGGCTCAAACACACTGAACTCATCAACTGGAACAGTCAGATATTCACCCAATACAGAAACCTGCTACATCCTAAAAGCACAGAAATGCAATGAATAGAAAAAAACCCGGGGGTTTCAGGTTTTCTGCAGCTATAAACAAACACGATAAATCATTGTTTTACTTGTAGAAAATGTCACAGTCAAACCTGCACGTACTTACTCAATTCTCCAACTTCCAAATTCCCTTGTAATAAAGTAACACAGAAGCCTAAAGAGGACAGTTTGTATCTTTATTTATTTACAGAGAGGACAGCTACAGTCTCCACACCAGGCATGTGTGTGAATGCTGTAGCTGAAACTTTCTATAATGAGCTCTCCGACATGCTACATACAAAATAAACATTCTCCCTTTTGCATCTTTTCCTGAAAAGTCAACTGGAGAACATTCCCACGCTCTCCCTTCCCTTCCCCAGTGCTGCAGTTCCCTCACTGCTTTGGGGGCATGGATAACAGTGAGGGCTCCATACTGTAACCCCGTGAACTTCAGGCCAATCTCAGTCTTGCCATATTGAGGGGAAAAAATAATTGCAGTGTTTCATTCTAGTGATACAAGAACAGCCTGTTATCAGTCCAAAATATAAAACTTAAGCTTATACTTCATTTTACAGAAAACAGAAATACTCACAGAAGTCAAGTGAAGAAAGTATCAGAAAAGTTACTGTACCACAAGTAAAGGTATTTTAGTCCTTCCTTTATGTAATCAATACCAAAGCAGCGCTGTTCAGGTACTATTAAACACTACAACAGAACTAATATATAGCATAAAACCCAGCTCCATACTAAACACTACCCTGCTGAGAGCTGCAAAACACCACTGGAAAAGCTCATCACATTGTTTGTGTTCTCACTTGGAGGAGTTAATGTCGAAGTTAAGGAACTGCTACTAGTTTGGACTGTTGGAACTTCCACAGAGAATCAGACCCCTGCAGGAGTTGCTCTAAAAATGGTCACATTTGCACAGAGGAAACAGAAGTTGCAGGAAAATAAGTGCAAGTGCAAATTGAGTTCCCTACTTTTTTTAAATGTAGCATCCAAAACCTTTTGCTTAAGATACTTCCCAGAAAAATGCCTTCTTCCAACTTCACCAATCTTAGGAGATACAAACTAACAGGGAAGACTTTCAGACAAATGGAATTTGGCACCTCCCAGTTTCTGTTTTGGACCAACAGGAGGGGTCTAATCCCCCATCCATCCTGTTTGGGATTACCCTGCTGGAAGAGAAGGTAACTTTTTCCCTGAATCACCTCAAGAAACTGAGCAGAGGAAGCAGCGCTTTAAAGAGATTCTGACCTTTAAAGCAGTTTAAAAACTGCTTGCAGAGGTTTTCTTTATGGATTCTGCTGTCCTTCCAGTGAATATGTAATATAACACATAAGAGGAAGATGATCCAAAACACCTGAGCTATATTTTTTTGAATGTAACACTTCCAGCTATTGTATGCTGGGTTTAATTTTATGAGACACAGATTCCAAATCTCAGGATTAACTTAACCATTCATGAAAAACAATCAAACATGAGAGCAACTAAGTTCAACCAATGTTCAGAAAAAGTAACTCCAACAGACACAACCCAGAAGAGCCAGATTGCTTAGCAGGGAAAAGCCTGAACAAACAAACCTCCTGCAAGGCCAAAAGGCCAGGAAGCTGCCAGAGCCAAGGGCCTCCTGTCCAAAACACACCAACTCCCTCTTGCATTTGCTGACACAAATCTTGTGCAAATCTCACTAGGAAAGGTGTCATTCCACCTTCAGGGTCTGCTGGCACCGATGTGTACATCCCACCCATCACCTGGCCAGGCCACCCAAAGTCCAGTGGGGAACACCCTGAACACAGATTCCCCAAACAGCCCCAAACAGCCCCAAACAGCCCTCACACGCGGCAGCCAACGGGAGCAGAGCAGGCTGGAGTCCTGGAGACTGGTCAGTCCTGCCCTGTCCCCACCACCAGCTGGCTCAGAGCTAAAAAAGTGCCCAAGCACCAACAGTTTGGGTATTGGCATGCAGCACAAACATCCTGGCCCAGGAAGCCGTGGCCTAAGGCAGGGACCCCGGCCGGGAGGGGTGTCCAGCACAGCCCCGGAGCTCTGGGGAATCCCAGGACAGCTCAGCTGGCAAGGCCAGCACAGACAGGGATTCAGGAGAAGGCAGCACAGAGAGCCCCCATCAGCCCATCGGTCTGGTTTGAAAGCACAGCCACTGGGCTTAACCAGGAGAAAGGGAACGTGCAAAGGGCTGTCCCAGCTCAGGGCACGGCTGAGCCACCCCAAATCCTGCTGTGCAGGGCAGAGCCGTGGGCTGTGAACGGGGGAATTCCTGTGCCCCTTTTGGACAGGTTGCTAATTGTTGGTAAGAATATATGTGGACTAAGACAGACAGTGGAAACTCCTCCAAATAAACTTTTCCTGATCCTCATAAATAAATAGATTAAGGAAAACAGTCAGGTACAACCTCAACTATTTCTGGAGAGAGATTTACAGACAGACATCAACACAGTATTGCACAGACTTTTAACTGGGAGTTGATTCATTTTACACTATCCCAAACTGAAGGTGGATTACACCTACAGATATATACAGCGTGTATGTTTGACAAAACATATCCATTAAAAAATACTAGAAATTGGAACCCACATACCAGGGATTCAATATAAATATAAATAGTTAGAATTTCAGCAACAAATCTCAACCTGGTAAATTAAATTCTGATTCGACTACAACATCTCCGTTACTCTTGATAAACATACCACATCTATTAATATTAAAATTGCCATAAGAATGGCACATGTATAATATATTCAATCTATCCATAAAGAGAAAATGCATAAAATTAAGTGTCACAGAATCACAGAATATTCTGAGTTGGAAGGGATCCACAAAAGATCAGAGTCCAACTGTTAAGTGAATGGTCCATACAGGGATCAAACCCACAACCTTGGTGTTATTAGCACCACACTCTAATCATGAGCCAGTCTCAGGGTGGGAGCTTTTACAAGTTGTTTTCAATTTTAAACACTTTTGGATATGAAACTTTTCAGGATAATACAAGAGCTGAAACTATGTTTCAGAAATTAAACTT